CAACATAGAAATGCTGTGCATGCTGCTGCTGAGAAGAATCTCGATGACTGAATGCCTATGCAAGCTGCTGCTACTGCACAAGAGACTGAACTGCTGAGAGCTCCATTAATTAAGCATACGAGTAGCTAGGCAAATGCCTATTTTACTCTAACATTGTGTCTACGCCAGACACGAGCGGCACAATATGACCAAATCAACAGACCCGTAACGATAGGTAAAGCGGTCTGCAATATACGCAGTGCGATACGGCCAACGCAACAAAACGTCTGCTACTGCTTCTATTGATAATATTCACTAACATTTCAATACTGAGTTGAAGTAGATGCTGTTGCTGTTAATGATATTCACAATGTTGTAATAGGAATTTACTGTACGAACTGTTGCTTAGTTGTAATGTTTAATCAGAATTTACGAAGCATAATCTACTGCTGCTGCACGAAATCTGCTATAAGCCCTGTTGAATAAGCAAAGTAATAAATGCCTATTGCACTTTAAAGAGTTACATTTACCCTCCATGATTTATCACTAAACTTTCATGCAACTAAAGCGCTTTCTGCTGCCACTGCTATATCAGCCATAATAATGACTTGCTATGCATGCTGCTGCTAATATTATTTCTAACCTTGCATCTGAATTTGCTATGCATGCTATAAAATTTGCTAACATTGCGATCTGAATAACTATGCATACTGCTGCACAAAAGTACTTAGAATTACTACTGCCCATTTATTAAATAACCAAACAACCAAATAATGCCTATTTCGCTTTGAAGAGTTCTATAAACCCTGTTGAACTGAATAGCAAAGTAATAAAATGCCTATTTCACCTAAAAAGTTCACTACCATCCAAATGTTATCTTATCACTGAAATTCCATGCAACTAAATGTATTTTCTGTTGCTGCTGCTATATAAGCAACAGTGATAATTGGATTGTCATGCAGACTGCTGCTACTATTTCTAACATTGCATCTGAATTTTGTTATGCGTCCTGCTGCTATTAAAATTCACTAAACTAG